GTGTGTGTGTGTGTGTGTGTGTGTGTGTGTGTGTGTGTGTGTGTGTGTGTGTGTGTGTGTGTGTGTGCGTGTGTGTGTGTGTGTGTGTGTGTGTGTGTGTGTGTGTGTGTGTGTGTGTGTGTGTGTGTGTGTGTGTGTGTCTGTGTGTGTGTGTGTGTGTGTGTGTGTGTGTGTGTGTGTGTGTGTGTGTGTGTGTGTGTGTGTGTGTGTGTGTGTGTGTGTGTACAATCTAACCCCCACTGTCCGGCAGTGTTATTATGGAAGAAAACTGCTTTTTATTACCCTTAAATTAAAGCAGGTTTAGTCCGGGAGTTAGAAGGTGTTAGCTCTATTGCAGCTCCAGTGAACCATTTCAGAATGCCTGGTAATTCACGACCACTCCGAGGTCACTTTTACTTACAATAAGCCCCGCATGTTCACTCTACCTTTATCAAATGGATAATGGTATCATAAACACACTTCCAGATTCAAAAAATATTACTTCCAAATCTGGCACGTATATAGTTTTGAAATTTTTTCAACTGTATTAAATCGATTTGAATAGACATTTCTTAACAATTTTGTTTCGAATACCTCTTGATTCATCTGCTGGCAGCACTTACTGGCCCTTACCGGCGACCAACTCGTCTGCCCGCAAAAGCAACAACGCCTAAATCTCAAAGCTCTCCGGACGTCCCCTCGAAACTGCAATCGAGATATGTATAAGAACAATCTTCAACTGGAACGTACTCACCAAATCAATACATTCGGGAAACGGCGCCGGTGGTGTAGTGGTAAGCGTGATTACCTCTCACCCCAGCAGGCCTGGGTTCAATCCCAGTCGGCGCCGCCGGGATGTTCTGAGGCATAACATCTCTGATCACGCCTTCCTTCGGATGGGAAGTAAGGCCGTTGGTCCCCGGTTCATGAGTTGATGGGTCGATAGGTAGGGTCCAGGTGTGGGAGCTGCTTTCCTGGCACATCGGTAGCATTGGTGCTCAGCACGGAAAACAAGATCGACGGAAAAAACAAACCAAAGGAAAAAAAAATACATCCGGGAGCACATTCCTGATGCTTATTTTTCTCTCGCATGTCCGTCGTCGTCGAACGGCAATAAAAAGGGAACTCGGTGCAATTTTGTGGTACGGAATTTTCACTGAACATAAACCGCGAATTTACGAATTTCACCACTCCCAACCGCGAAACACGTTGAGAAGCACTTTTGGTACACTTTCGATCAATTTCTTTCGAAAACACAAAAAAAAGTTGCAAGCGAGCCAACATCAACACCCGAGTCAACACCGATTGTGCCGAACTCTTTCACGCACCTTGCAGTGCGTAAATAAACTGAAATTAAAAATTATCACTCGCGATGCCACTAATGTCTGGTCCGGGAGAAAATCAAAAAACGCAGATTGCGACATCTCTTCTGATGCTTGCAAACATGTTGAATCGCGTTTTCTTCCTCTATTCTAAAACTTCCCGGAAAGCGAGAAAACTACCAATCACACACGTATAAACGTCCGGGAGGCAGAGCGCCAGCGCTAATCCGGCAAATGCAGCCGAAAACTATGAACGCGAACGCACGCACCTGCATGAATTTGATTTTTGACCGGAGATTAAAAATTGATCGTTGCACAAAAACTTAAACTCAAACTATAGGAAATCATTATAGCTGTAATAAGTAATTATTAGTTGATGTTACCTCGGGAGTTCCACAGGGATCTCGTTTAGGTCCTTTATTATTTATTTTATTTGTGGATGACGTGAAGTTTGTGTTTTTTTTTTTTTTTTTCCTCTGTTCGGGACATAAAACCACTGCGACCAGTAATTTGATCTATTGTAGTATATCCCGTGTCCTTAGTTTAGTGCATGTCGTATTACTCCATCACTATTGAGAAATGATGAAGTATTCGGTTTTGATACAGTTGTCATTCTTGCCTTTATCGCAAGGAATCGATTCTAATTGAAAGGTCCCGCTATTTATACCCTTCGGAGTGTTGAAACACCCTCCAAAGGCACGCCCCTTTGTCAGTCAAAATTGGATTCCTTAGCAAAAAAAACAAGACATGACACCGATAATGACCATGCATCAGAACCCTAGTCTTAACCACTTCAAACTAGGAAACAACGAATAGAAGATTAGGAATCACATAGGTGAAGACTAACTAACTCATTTTTTCCTTGTTTCAAGATCATCCTCGGTCCACGCAACCCGAGGACTTATCACTATCAACAAGGCATAAAAAGTAACAAGGACTAAGATGTGTTCCTTTGATTACTGTAAAATCCTGTTCCCCTAGTTTGAAGTAGTCAAGACTAGGAATCGGTGGTAGATCTTACATCCCGTAACGTACCACGAAAAGGTGATCTACCCACGTTACGGGGCAAGTTTGTGTTAATTCGCTTAAATGTGCTCATACATGCTGACGATATGAAACTGTACATGGAAATCTTCAACAATTCTGATTTGCTACATTTTCAAAATGAAAATGTAGTTTTCTACAATTGGTGCGATAAAAGTTTGCTGGACATTATTGTTAAAAATGCAATAATATATCTTATTCCAGAAAACACACTACTCTAGATTTTACATGTACTCTAGGAAACCAGCTGGTTGTAAGGTGCGATAAAATTAGGGACTTAGGAGTAATTCTTGACTGGAAGTTGACATTTGTAGATCATGTGAATACCACAATTCACAGAACAAATAATATGTTGGGACTCATAAAAAGATTTAGTTATCATTTTAAAGACCCATATACCATCAAAACACTTTATATAGCTTACGTGAGATCAATTCTCGAATATTTCAGTGTGGTTTGGGCTCCATACCATGAAACTTCAAAAACAGTTTTTGTTATTTGCTCTTAAGAAACTAGGCTGGACCTCTTTTCTCCTTCCTTCTTATGAGTCCCGTTGCATGTTGATAAGCATTTGAACACTTAAGAAGCGAAGAGAAATTTCCATGATTTTCTTTAATAATGATATTATCTCACAACGCGTAAATTCAGAAAAAATATTAGCAAGCTTAAATTTTTACGTACCAACTCGAAATGTATTGCAACTGTCACCTCATAGAACGAATTATGGTAAAAATTTACCAATCAATAGAATGATGAGAGTGTATAATAATTATTGTGAGCGTATAGATCTAACGATGTCTAAATATACAGTAAGGAGAACACCAACTCGAAGACAACAAATCAAGAAGACTCTACAACTATAAGTCACTATTTGGTCACTTATTTCTTCAATATGGTCACTAAAATCACTATTTTTGACAGCATTCATTGCTACCAGCCCTGTATACCGTTTTGGCCAGCAATGAATGGTGAAGTCGAACATCAGAACAGGTTGTTATTGAAAAGGCTAATAATTGTACAAGAATTGAGTAAAGACTGGAGATTGGAAATGCGATATTTTTTACTAACATACCATTCTACAAACCACAGTGTTACCGGCAATTCATCAGCAGAGCTTATGTTTGGCAAGAATATCCGGAATAATTTACCTGGATGTACATGCAGAATTACAAGATGGAGAGGTTAGGGATCGAGATCAAGTTCAGAAGTAAAAAGGGTAAAATTTATGCTGATAAGAAAAGATTAGCTAGGGCAAGAGATATCAAAGGTGGGGATCGTGTTATCTGGGACACAACGGCACGTGGCTGGGAAATGGTTATATACCGTCTGGGAAGCAGAAGCGGAATACCTAGAATCATACACCACACGTGAACATAACATATCTTCATTCCTTTTCGTATCGCTTACATTCAACTACTTCTTTCCGGTGCAATACTAGTCTCAACAGCAGTTCTTCTTCCGCCTTGGAGAAATTTATCGAACGAGCACGGTTTCTTTTCTCCAATTTTCAATGTTATTTTTCTTTTTGCTCTAAAAGTTATTAACAAAAAGATTCAATAGGTACACCGGTGAAAGCTGAAATGCGGGGTAGTTGAAACGGAAACCATAACTATATGCGCAAGTGAGTTGTCACTGTTTTTATTTAACAGTATAATATAAACTTAAACGCATGCTATGACTGTTAAATCAGGTAATAACAAACAGCTTAACGTGATCCTCAGCTTTGTTTATTTTAATTTTATATGAAATTTACAACACACATTGTTTACGCATTGCTTCAATCTTCTCAAAACAGTTGAATTTTCTGCGTATGGAGGCTAGTTGGAGTGGTATAGGAAAACCCGGTTACTAATGAAGTTACCAAAAATATCCTCAACATTACAAGTATTTCAACTTGCCCACATTTTTACACCCTATGGGTTAAATCGAAATGAGTTGAAATGGTAGATATACCATTCTCAGTAAAAGAAATTATTTCAATATGTTGAAGGACAGCCAAGAAACAGCGATGGGTGCCTTTATTTTTTTTTCCTTTGGTTTGTTTTTTCCGTCGATCTTGTTTTCCGTGCTGAGCACCAATGCTACCGACGTGCCAGGAAGGCAGCTCCCACACCTGGACCCTACCTATCGACCCATCAACTCATGAACCGGGGACCAACGGCTTTACTTCCCATCCGAAGGAAGGCGTGATCAGAGATGTTATGCCTCAAAACATCCCGGCGGCGCCGACTGGGATTGAACCCAGGCCTGCTGGGGTGAGAGGTAATCACGTTTACCACTACACCACCGGCGCCGTTGGCCGATGGGTGCCTTTAAGAATACTACAATATTAAAAAAAAACTAACGTGAAGAAATGCACGGCTTAAAAGTGGCGTTTAAGCTTAAAGCGTTAAACGGGGCTGGTGAAGAAAACGTAGTGAAAAACCATGATTTTACTAAATTTTACATAATAGTTGCTTTTATTCTAATTTGACAGACCTTGAAGAACATTTTCAGATACATAATTCTTAAATATACGTATTACAATTTATTATGGTGGAGGACACATTGAAATGTCTTCAATTAAGAAATCTATAAAATAGCATACGAAAATTATTTTTCTATCATTTCTATCAAGTTTCACTATATACAGTTTTATCTTGTCGTTTTCAACAGATGATATCTCCACCGACATTAGTAAAAAATTGTTACAACGAATCAAATGATGTGCATATAACCGACGAATCAGTTGACGTTGTTGACAACCATCAACGATTTGAGGATGATTTTGGACCAGAGACTGACGTAGATGCAATGGATGAAACAACTTTTATAAAATCGCCAGTTGAGCCTCAAGCAAACGATATCAACAACGAATTCAGTCTATCAAATGGGATTAAACCATTTTCTTTAGAAAATAAAATCATGCAACAACTATCGGAACAAAATCGAGAATTTTTAACCGATAATAATCCCTTCAAAAATGACCGTTTTGATCAATACAGTGATGACCATGCTGTATTAGATCAAACAACTAAACCCTCTGACGACAGTTCGGCAGAAGTGGTTGATAATAAAATTATTGACGCCCTGGAGTCACTAGCAGTTAGTAATGGAGAAAATGAAAAGCACGAGCTCGAAGATGGAAAACAAGAAGGAGATTTGCTCGACATTAGGCAACAGTCTCCAGATATTCCTGATTTAACAGAGAAAGCAGACTATGTTCATGAGAAAAACTTGTTCATGCTCGACTCTACTACGAAACCAGACGACACATTTATGCAACATTCCGACAGCACTTTTAACCAGGCTGAAGATCAAAAGTCATCGCTAATCGAACAAGGTAAGTGAGGTCAATGCTACAATTTTACTCACTTCTTATTACCATCGACATACATTATTGTACTATCGTTCAACGGTTGTACTCCATTAATCCAGTACCGCAATCAACGTACTAGATTAAATAAGTATAACGGTACTACAATCATGTCTGTCATAATTTTAATCTACGTACGAGCGCTTTTCTTCTTTAATCTAGCACATCACATTATATTTTTTTGAGTTAAACCATCGACCGATATGATTACTGTAGTACCGTTGTACTCCTTTTATCTAGTACCGACATACTAGATTAAATTAGTACAACAGTTTAACTGTATTTCAATCATGTCTGTCATAAGTAATAAGCACAGACAAACATACATAGGGTAGATGGGGGCAATGTGGTCCCTCTAAGAAAAACACAACATACAACATGCAAAACATTCCTAAATGCTGTGATGAACTCATTCTTTGGAGGAGTATGTTTGATAATATACAGTGTATGAAATATGGATAAAATGTCATCCTACTTATGAAGAGCTTTGAGTGGGTTGGTTTATTTCCTTTAAATTCCGTTATAGTTGCTTATCTTTTGACAGATACGCGTATTTCGTCTACTACTTGCAGACTTCATCAGTGCCAAGTACTCAACACCACTCCTACTTATTAAATTCATATCTTTGAAAAATTATACAGTACTTGTTCGCTAACTGGGCGATCTTTAACTGGGAGCTCGTTAACTGGGCTGTGGTCCAGTTAAAAAGCATTTATCCAGCATTTTACAAGTGCTCATGGCCGCCACAATCTGGCTGAGTTTCTGGTAGGGAACATTCGACTTGATGTTTGGGTTGTGTCGCTTGACGTATAAATGATCAAATTTGACCGTTTACAGGTCAAACGACACAAGCCAAACTTCAAATAATATGTTCCCTACCAAAAACTCAACCAGATTGTGGCGGCCATGAGCGCTCGTAAAATACTGGATACGTCAAAAATACACGTCACATTTAGTTTGACATTTAGTTGTCATAATTGGTGAGGGGCATTCGAATGGAATGTAAATAAATTTGAAATTATTTTCATTTCACACTGAAATCACGACTAAAAAGCGTTATGAGCAAAAGCATTAAGCTTTTCTAAGGCTGTGTTCCATTTGGTAAATTTTCACTTAAATTTGACATTTCGAAAATTAATTAAAATGTTCGAAAATCCCTCTGTTGCTCAGCGGCCGATTTTCGAGAAGGTTTCTGTCAAAATTGATTCCTTGTCTGTCAGAAATAAGTCTGCTGGAATAGCAGGTTTATTTGAAAATTTTCCATCTGTCAAATTTAAGTGAAAATTCACTAAATGGAACACAGCCTCAACTAGCTAGATTGAATGCTGTGAAAGTAAAAATGGCAAACTTAACACTGTATCAATTCAATGCACATGAAGTTTTTTAACGTCGATCAAACATTCCATTGAAGCTCCCTTCAGTGTTTTTTTGACGTTTGACAAGCCAGCCCAGTTAGCGAACAGGTACTGTATTCTATTTTATTGATTGCAAATCTTATAATATGTCGGCGAAGCCGGGATGTTCTGAGGCATAACATCTCTGATCACGCCTTTCTTTGGAAGGGAAGTAAAGCCGTTGGTCCCCGGTTTATGAGTTGATGGGTCGATAGGTAGGGTCAAGTTGTGGGAACTGCCTCCCTGGCATCGGTAGCATTGGTGCTCAGCACGGAAAACAAGATCGATGGAAAACAAATCAATCGTGATCAGAGATGTCATGCCTCAGAACATCCCGGCGGCGCCGACTGGAATTGAACCCAGGCCTGCTGGAGTGAGAGATAATCACGCTTACCGCTACACCACTGGCGCCGCTAATAACGCGTTCATCTTGATAAAAAATTGATAAAAAGCAGATTTTTAGCGATGGGCCCAATCTTAGATCCATAGGCTATCATTAGAGCCATTTCCCTTATAAAAACAATCTTTGAAATTTTATTAGTGTACGTAAACGCAAGCTCCACCGCTTGAAGTTTACTTTGTTGTTGCAGGATCATTGCATTATCCCGAGATGCAACGAGGACAAATTTCCATTTTTCAGGTTCCGAACTCGGGGAGCAACAAATTTGCGCAGTGGAGAAAGGTTGCCACTTTTTACAGAACAGGGAAAGAGCGAATATGCTCCCATCATTTTGTTGAACCAGACTTAGTTGAATATAAATCCCATGTCGTGCAAAGTTTGTTGTCGTGGGATGTTTGAGATTAATTTCATGTGGCCGCTGCCCGGGATGGATAATTTGCAGCACAATCCTCTTTGTGGTTTTCACCACATTTGCCACAACGAGTTTTGTTGCCGCAATGGCTGGCCGAGTGTCCCAGCCTTTTGCAGTTGGTACAATTATATACCCTCTGTACAAACAACCGCACCGGAAAAAAAAACACCATCAACTTTGACAAACATTGGGAGAACTGAACCAGCGAAAGTCACCCGAAACGAGTCCGAATGTTGATAAACTTTCTTGCCATCTTGCAAAGATACTGAATGCAGTTGCCTGACATCCAGTATCTGTACCTGCTCTCCGATTTTCGAGTTTTTGAAGCAACCCGATGCGCGTTTAAGTCCTTCACACTCAGACTAGTGTCGTAGACCATGCCTTCTATCTCCACATCTCGAGAAGGGATTTAGATTAGACTGATGCAAAATTTGAAATTTTCACTCCACAGTGTTCAAACGGTTCCAAATCGGGTCCTGATTAGCCTCCGAAAGTTTAAACTCATTTGATAAGAAACTGACTTGGTACAAACCATTTGAAGTTTATATGGAAATTACTATGGGAAACCAAAACTTTTTGTTCATTGTCTTCTAGCCTTTTTACATATTATACTGTTAACAAATTCTTTTACTATTCTTATGGGAATTTTTATCAACTACAACTTTGTAGAAAATCGTTTTTCAGCCAAACGTCAAATTAAATAGTTATTAATTGTTTAAGAGATTGATAATCTTATGGCAAGATTAAGCAACTGTATTGTGGGCAACACTGTATTCTGCAGTGTGACATAGGTCCCATGCATTAATTATGTCACGCTAAATCGAGAATTTACCCCCCCCCCTCTAACGTGACGTTTTTCCTGTACCTAATGCATTGCTTGTCACAAAATCTTAGTCTGGCGTCTTTTGGCCAGTGTCTCGTCGTCGGTACTGAGGTATGGAGGTCCAACCTGGGTTCCAGCGCTGGAAACGAAGCAGAACCAAAGAAAAACTGAGCAGAACGTTCCGGCTCATGGGAAAATACGGTGAAGAACGATGGATGAACATACCGATACCGATACCGATACTTTCGACCTGGGTGAACAGAAAACACGGAAAAGTCAACTTCCACCTAACGCAGTTCCTGTCTGACCACGGTTGCTTCAGGAAATACCTGCATCGGTTAGGACACGCAGCGTCACTCCTCTGTCCGGAGTGTGGCGACGTCGATGAAACGCCGGAGCATGTGGTCTTAGACCTCGCTTAGACTGTCGGTTCGAGACAGTGAGAAGCGAGATGCCCGTCCTTAACGTGGAGAATGTCGTCGATGAAATGTGTCGATAGGAGGGTACTTGGAATGCCGTCAACAGAGCAGTCACGCAGATTATGTCGGAGCTGCAGCGTAAAGGGAGAGAAAAGCAGCGATCTAGCAATGCCAGCTAGCGCTGAGAGTATGACAAATGCATGAGCACAGCCACCCCCCGAAGTAGTCGCTTCACAGTGGTGCCATGGAGATCCAGGCAGAGGAGAGAGTAAGGAATGGGTTTTAGTGGAGCTGCACTAGGCAACTTGTGGATACCACACCGTGCCAACTTCACTACAGACCAGGCTAAAACAAACACTTAGAAATCATTACCGGCTTCGGTAATTTCTTACCGAACTTTCAAAAGCTGAACTGTTCGATAAAAGAGGAGATGGACTAGCCCGTGTGGCTAAAAATCTCCTAAATAAAGTTTAAAAGAAAATATTTTGTAAAAATCTGTCTATCAAACAGCTACTGCTGCTTGTACATTTAAAATTCGTAACTAACCATTGTATCTAATGGCTTTCAGTTTATGCACACTTGCTCAAGCAGCCCTACGCCCTTCAATAAGCAGTTTTAATTTAATAAAATAAGTATTTAATAATTATTACTTTGTTCGTATCGCTTGGCCCCTAGTCACCGCTAAGCCCCTAAGAAGCAAAATTATGTTGACAGTGCAAATAGGTACAATTATTTTTCATATGCATTTGGAACATCTTTTAATGCATCAAACAAATAATTTCGCTACATTGATTGTTTTACCCACGACGTTTTACAGTGAGAAATATTGTCGCGCTTATGTTAAATTCTCATTTGGTGACGGTCGAAGTCCGCCGCTCAGAAGCGCGATGCAACCCCGCCGATAAGGATTATACACAGGTGTGTAACTTTGATAGTATTTTATGGCAACGGCTTGAAGAGCGAATCCTGGATAAAGAGCCACCGTGTGTTAAATCAATGGGGGCAATCGTACGGCCATAAACAGAAAACATTGTATAATCCCTTTTTAAGAAATTATCCTGCTGCACACAATATCTTCTTCTTCTTCTTCTCTTTTTGAGCTATCATTTGACAGCTCCTGGGAAAGGGCAAAGTGACAACGACTATTAGGTTTTGCACCGTCGGGGTTAACCTCAATCTGATGACAGTTCAGTGGTACTGTTTACGTGGACTTAGTCAATTTTTTCTTGGGTGGATTTTTTCGATATTTTTTTAGACTGCAGTGAGATGTAAACCACATGTCTGCATTCTCCACGAGCAACATCTGTTCATCGCGCTGTTCCTCGACAATTTGCAAGTTAAAATTTGGAAATTTTATAATTTTTTTTTTTTTGAAAAAACGACTAAGTCAAGAGCAAATTTTCATTACGTCGAAAGTAACAAAGGTAAACAAAGTCGAGCTATCAGTGTCAATCGATGCTCCTGCTATTACACTATATTCTGTCCGAATATAGGATCACATCCCATTTTTAAATTTATT